GACCCTGGATGATAATACCTTTTGGTAAAGCAAGACTATGCGAAACTCAATGGAAATGTAAAGTCTACTCATATCGTTATGGAAAAAATTTGACTACCAATCCAATTATCACCAAAACGGAATAGTTTGAAAATAGTTAATATACAACTGTACTACTGGTAGTCTCGAAAAACCTACTTATACAAGAAACATATTACCACCACTCCACTCCGTTACGAAGGAAGGTCAGGCGCATTTTTCAATGGTAGGATCATCGCTAAGGCACACTTTTTATTTGCCATTTCAATAAACTTCGTTCCTATTATTCATCTATTTTCTGTTTTTAACTTACAGTAAATTTTGAATAAGCATTTTTTCACATTAAATTGCATAATGTATGGAAAGACTGATACTCAAACCTTCCTATAATTATATGATTTGGCCTCATGCTCATTTTTATTTTCACATACTCTTGCCTCTCAGACAGTTTTCTCATGGTGTACGGACTGCAGATTTAATTTCGACCCCATCTTTAGTCAGCATCCTCAACGGAATTATTATCTAGGTTATTCATATAAAATGGTTACAAACTACCACATTACAGCACGTTCGCGGGTACCAGTAGGTCAGAATTTAGACGGGACACTTAAAGCAAGCTACCTTCTAAGGTTCATTCCTTAATTAGATTTTTGGTAATACTTGCAAGTTGCAAAACTGTCTGAATTTTTTAAATAAAAATTTAATCATTTTTGTCTTAATAAGCATTCACACCAGAATTATGCCATTGTATTATGGGTAATTGTGTTTATAATTATTCTCAGCCCCCGGAAACCCTTCAAAGTATTCGGTTTGGCTATTTTGGAGATCTGATGCTCGAGAGCGAAATGGTTTGTAATGGAATTGTTAAGTCTCATCTGCTGTCCATTAACTGCTCCATGAATGATCAGAACTTAAGACACTCAGATTGCCCGGGAGGCGCGGACACTCGGGCCAAGATTCGTCGGTCATCTCGACCATTATTTTGCATGGTGACGCACTATGTTGTCCACTGAGGTGAAATGTGAGAAACACGGGAGTCGAAAAGAAAGAGCGAAAAGGAGCTGCATATAACCCAGAAAATAAAAGTACTTTATTGTCTTCATTTTCGTGCATGAGGAAAACCGGTACGCTGCAAAAGAGACAATGGAGCCAGTAGACCAAAATTGAAATATGCTTTACCATCTACACATTCATGCTTGCTACTGATCAAATTTCAGCTTATATTGCAGAATGGAACTCTGCTTTACTGGCGAATCCTACCTCATGACGACAGTGGGACTCAGAGGCAGAGAAACAGAGAAGTGATCATTATTTTACTGTCAACAGATTCATGCGTGAGGAAAAGTGGCCCTCAAGATAGAGCAGAGTGGAGTCTATAATTCAGAATATAATCTTGTTTTACCCGTGACAAAAGTGAAGAAAAGTTGACATCCAAAAAAAGAGCATAGTTTAGCCGAAATTCCAAATTTTCACTTTGTTTTAATGTCAGCAGAAAAAGCAAAATGTGTCAACTAGCCCAGAGGGAACCTTTGCTCTAATGCCTTCAGACACATGCGCGAAGCTAAAAGAGATTCGAATCAAATGTTTGTTTGCCTTTTCTAGATTTGGTCGTAATGACAAACGAAATGCTAAGACGCATAGAAACATGTTTTACTGGTAGTCTCGAAACTCTAATAAACATACGAAAAATCAGTATGTTTTACCAGATTTAGGCCCAACGAAAAAGGAACATTCCAGAATGTAAATCTCACGAAGAAAGCACGTCTGTCACAGGACAGATTCAACTGGATCGCAGGACAGTGTACGAAGGACGTCATCGCACAAAGAACAATCACAACTCCAAGACAACAACATTATTGCTCGATTAGAAGATCGTTTAATTAAAGACGCAACCTTATTTTACCAATTATTCGTTGGATATTTTGTCGTCTAGCCTGCAATTTGAGAAGACGGCAGAGACAGATTATAATAAGCAATGGAAACGTCAGCTCTACTCATACATTGTGGGCAAAATTCTACTGCCAGTCAGTCCTTCATCACCTTAAACGAAATTAGGTGAATACATTTCATATTACTGAATGGCTGGTAGTCATGAAACAATACTTAAATACGAAAAATAAGGTAAATTTTTTTTTTTAAATTACGCAGAATTGGTGTTGCTGAGATTTAAAGCTAAGTTGCAGTTAATGTTTGCGAATAAAAGTTGGGTTTTATAATTGTTGATATTACTCAAAGACAACAACGTCATTGCTCGATTAGAGGATGGTTTAATTAAAGACGCAAACTTAGTTAGTTCGTTGGATATTTTGTCGTCTAGCCT